TTTTTTTTTTTTTTTTTTTTTTTTTTTTTTTTGTGTGCCTGTGGATTGCCTGTGCATAAGGCATTTGTAGGGTTCCAGCTGAGCATTGTTGGGAAAGGCCAATGTACTACTCACACAGTACCCTATTATAAAGAGAAACCGAAATAGTGACATAATATATTATATTTTTGTAATCTTCCTATTTTTGTAGTTACCTGTGTAAAAAATGCTGGTCTGACCCCACAGATATTCAGCCTAATTATGGTCAGGTTCAATCCACAGTTCAGTCTTTTTTTTAAATTTTATTTTTTTGTTTTGTTTTGTTCGTCTGTAATATTCTAAAACCATTCCATTCAAAGCACTTTCAGTCCATTAGATATAGGAATTACATTCTTTTATTGTGTGGGAATTTGTTTTGTTTTGGTTTTTGTTTGGTTGTTTTTTTTTTTTTTAATGGAATGGTTTGGAAATATATAAAGTGCTTGTTGCAAACTTGGAATTGCAAAGCAAGTGCATTTAACTATGGTGTTAGAGGAGAGGTGATTTTCTTTTCCGAAGGTTGTGTTCCAGTGGGAGAAATTGCATTCACGAATTGCCAGGATATCTTCCTATCCTTTTCTATAGAAAAGCTGAAGTTTAGAATCCTTTGGTGCCAACTCATCTTTATAAATTAGGGGCCTTAAAGGTTCACATATAGGACACATAGTTTAAGGATTGTCGCTAGATGTTTTACAACTGAAGGTTTTTAAACACTAAAATATATAATTTATAGTTAAGGCTAAAAAAAAAGAATATTTATTGCAGAGGATGTTCGTAAGGCCAGTATGATTTGTAAATTAATGCAATCGCCCCTTTTGTTTTTAAAAATGAAAAGAAATCTTTCTACCCTTGATGTTGCAGTTTTAACACAGCTTATTAAAGCAAAAAGGACACGCTTCAAAGAACAATCCCAAAACCAAGCAGTGCATTTGGCCCCTTATTTTTTCATTTTAAAAGCAGTCTAACCATGAAAAAAACACGCCATAGTTAATAGATATGAAAATTGGAGTACTTGAAAGTTTTTATTCCAGTATATGCCCCATTTTTTTTTTTGTTTTTTTTTTGTTTTTTTAATTTAGCTACAAATAGAAAATTTGCACATCTTGGCTATGTATCTTTTTATTATTATTTTAGAAAGTAGCTGAAGGGACGTGGACATAGCTGTTGAAGTTGATGCTCGAGGAGAATGTGATGGTGAAACGTATGTGAGAAAACTGCCGCTAAGGTGTTGATTGTAAAAAAACATAAAAAATCCAACAAAACAGCAAAAAAAAAAAAAAAAAAAAAAAAAAAAAAAAAAAAAAAAAAAAAAAAAA